ACAGACATGCCTAGATCGGTAGAGTGAAAAGGGAATTTATTTCAAGTCCTTCTGGACATTGCATATATTCGCATAAATTTAATATCTTGAAGATTATCATCTGCAGGTTGAACGCAAGAAACCAAGACGGACAGACGGATCGACAAGCCTAGACTAGAACTCGAACAGAAAATGATCCTCAATCGGTTAGTATAATAAAAAGCGAGCATATTTTAAAAGCGTCTGGAAATTCTTTCGATTACAAGCGATGTACGGTGCATGCTCTACATCTTTATACGTTTATGTAAAAATTATTTTATAAAAATTTTTCTGAAAAGTTTAAAAGTCATAATAAACTTTTCTGTTTTCACTTCTAAATAACTGAACTTAACTAACGTAAGGGGAGAAATTATATATATTTTCCAAAATATAATTCAACCTTGACCATGCAAAGTGAAAATATATTTTTGTATTTAATAAGGAGCACGAGAGTCATAAAATAAAAATTAGCATGACATTCCACCATATTTTCCGTAACGTTTTACATGAACCGTAACTTTATTTTATTGTTCATATGACTGCCGGTACGGTACCACCAATAACTTAGCCAGCAATGCATTCATAAAGATGAATAACGAATGAATAACGATTGACTAAAGGAAGGAAAAGAAAAGTTAATGTATATAAAATGGGACATTTTAACTATATTAACTATGTAGAGTTAGCGAATAAAAGTTTCTATATTAAATAATGACCATTCAACTAACTAAAAAGTTAATGTTTCTTTTATCCATTAACGATTAAAGAAAAGAAAAACTATAGGGAATAAAAATCGCGAAATAGAAATGAGTTCGAGCGAGTCATTAAGATTCAATTTGACATTTAGGCGGCTTAGAAAAGGTAAGGCCAGTTAGTTACCTGTAGACAAACAGCTGAGACAATAAATGAGAGAAAGTTCTTATAAACTTGAAATTCGATTCAATATAAAATGCAGTCAGTCATTAGTCCTTCCGTCCACACTCTCAAATGAAATTGTGCCCTACATTATAAAAATAGTATCATTTTATATTGTATGGTATTAGTATATATATATATGTATATATGTGTGTGTGTGTGTGTGTGTGTGTGTGGCACATGAAAACCGGAAATGAATCTATATGTCAAGTGTCGTGTGACTTAAATAGAGGGATTTTAAAATACTTTTCTATCTATCTGCAACTATGCACAGAGGATAGATTTAGTTTGTCTTTCTCTTGGCAACGATCCAAGTTTTTGCCGATTGTTGACTTCCAGCATACAAAATCAATCGAGCAGTGATCGAACAACTACAGCAACTTATTATTGTGTATATATTTGCAGCGACCTAGAAGATCTATTGTACTCGTCCATGCCCCTAGCCCTCTAGTTTTAGGATTTATATAAATCCCGCCAACATCCTTGGATCGGAGCACCATACCATGTCCGGCGAAGTAAAGTGCTCGTCAAGCACATGATGTCTGATTCAGGAGATGACCTTACATTCACAGCGAAGCGAGTTAGTATTGATCAATAGTTATGTCGAGTCTCATTTCTGAACATTTGAGAACTATTTTAGAAATTGGCAGACCGACGGACAGACATAATTTAGAGCATGAATCCAAGTCGATGACTTGGTATAACAACAAGAGATGGGAGTATTTCAAGTGCTTCTGGTTAGAAGAACTTATTGCATTCTTTCGCAAGTAGGGTGCAATTGTAGGGTGTAATTAGTGTGATTCGCTTTCAAATTCCGTATAAATCGTTGCAGATATCCATCTATCAAAGAAGCACAAAATTTACAGATACTTCAGTACAAATATTTACCAGGCTACCGGTGTATCCCCCCTGTAAACAAAAAATCCCATTCGCCGAAATGACGCGCCCACAAGCAACAAAAGTGCTTTATAAATGTTCATATTCCCCCTAATCGGAATTATGTAAAGTAATTTTTGTTTGTCAATCGGTTAGTAAGGCCTACGAATCCGAACTTTCTGCATGTTGGCTGTGGGCTCTGAGTATATCCAACTAGGTCCCTCTGTCTATTAGTTGCCTGACAGTTGTAAAAGTTCGAAAGTAAACCTAAAGTCGAACTCTTACGACTGCACTCGCCCACAAACTTATTGAAAAAGAGGTGATAAGTATCTTGTATAGAATTACATAGGAACTATTTAAGTCAGGTTGAAACTCAATTCCTTAGAAATAAAGATCATTCCGACAAAGGTATGCAGCCACAAATTCATTTAGAATTAATTGGTTAGATAACATCGACTTTCAGGTCCCTCTGTCCATCGGTCACCTTTTTTGTTGCAAGGTGTTGCCACGATTGTACAAATTCGAATCGAAGACTGAAGGTTAATAACAATGCAAGCCTAAGTTATCACCTAACCTAAGAAGGTAGGATGCGCGACTATTCAGTCGATAGGCAGTTTGATTCCCCGTTGGATAAAGAGTACTTTAATAACATTTAGTCTATAGACGTAGCTATAGTAAAATACTAGATCCGTAAGAGATACTCATTTACCTAAGTCCTGTGGTCACATCATATCTTTTCTCTTTCTCCATTTTTCTCTCCCTAGCCATTAAGGCGTGTATAACGCATTTAGAGGACATCCTCTGAGTAATCGGTTATAAAAAAATCTAAAATTTGAATTAAAGTCTGTCCGTCCCGGATAAGAAACGGCCGCAAGTAAAATGCTGTCATGCTGTCACAATAGTACATGAAGCGTAGTTTACAAGCCATTGCTACAGATGTTTATCTATAGTTTCGAACTGCTTGCATATATTCCCATAAGTGCAAACACCCCAGCGGTACATATCCCTTGTGATGGACGACAAACGTTAGGTCTGAAATCTTATTGTAATGCATCCGCCAGCTTACTTTCAATTAGTTTGGTGGGTATAGGAAATTCGTCTTAAATCGAATATAAGTTTCTTATTTGTTTGCTATTCACACACACACACAGACAGATACTAAGAGACGAATGTATATTATATTCTCATGCCGTAAGTATCCGTTTGGATTGCATTGTTTTAAAATAATTGAAAGTAAATATTTTAAAAACTAAAGCAAATATCTCTTCAAGGAATGGTATTTCTATTGTCCATGCAGTCCTTGTATA